ATATAGTAGACTGCTTTGGTAGTCTACTAAACCACAAAAGTAGACTTCGTAACCTAATTTGTCTAAGTATGTTTAATTTGTGAAATTTTATTTTTCATACTTCACAAATATTTATAGTAGGGTCATCAATCAAAATTTTTTCTCAATTTTTTTTATTAATTTACAATTTTAATTTAAAATATAATTATATAGTAGACTGTTTTGGTAATCTACTAAACCACAAAACTAGACTTCACATGGAGTCTACGCGTTGGATTTCTGGTGAAAGTTTTCTAGTAGACTTCTATATTACGTAACAGACTTCACTAGAGTTAAAACAGTCATTATGACCTCCGTTTTTTGTTTGGTCATAAAAGTTTTAGTTGTAATTTCACTACCACCTTGGTTTATTTTTCTCAAACATGAGATATGTGGGTTACCTTTGTATTTCAAACCAATTTGAGGATCATTTTTAGTAACTTTCCCTTAAAACTAAGTGTTTTGTGTACATTTATATATTTCTTATGTAAAGTATAATATATATTTTTTTCTTAAAATTTATGTATAGAAAACAAATATATATTTTTTTATGTAGGTACCTTTGATTTTAAAATAAATGAATCACAAAAGAAAACATGAACAAAAAAAAATATGTTAAAATTTTAAAAGAGTGATTTTAAAAATATGGCTAGTAAATCCAACAAGTGTGATCGGAGAAATTTTGAGTTTACAAGTTTTTGGAATTGCTTTCATAGCTTTTAAAACCAATTTATTCTTTATGGGGCAATTACAAAAATGACACTTTTGGTGTATACATTTGCAAGAATGCCACTTAGAGATGTCAATTTGTAAAAATGCCACTAATTATAGATTTTTAAAGGTTAAATCTTAAAATTATAATTCTTAAAAAATGTTTTGACCCCTTAAACCCTTTAAATCCTCAAAACTAAATTCTAATACAACATAGTTAACTCAAACATAAATGATATAATGAATTTTTTTTTTGTTGAAAAAGTGGTATTTTTCAAAGATTTTGAAAAAGTGGCATTTTTGACAAGTGACATTTGAAAAGTGGCATTTTTTGAAATTTCTCTTTATCAGTCACCATCTAATGTAATTAAAACAATTTGTGGTGGAGAAAGTAATTTTTCTAACCAATAATCTCGAAAAAAACTTTTACTAGACCACAAATTGTAAATCCAGAAAACATAATCATTTCACCAATAAATTGATGTAAAAGATAAAAAAATCACAGCAAAATAATAAATAATGTGAGAAAAAACAATATCAAACCTCTAATTCTCTTCGTATTCAAAGTTCTAATGAAGTAAACAAAAATATGTATTCCAACACCTCTGTTGAGATGATGTAGCTGTCTCGGTAAAAACGAAACATATTAAAACTTGTGTGATCAATAGGTTTTTACATGTGTATTTGAAGCAAAAAAGATGACCAATCATTTTTTAAGAAACGGTAGTGCATATTGATTTAAACATACTAGTTAAGAATTTGTATCAAAGAAGATATCTTTCATATGCTATAATTTTTATTAATGAATAGTCTAT